GTTTCTTTCTAATTCAGGAACAAATCTGGCACCCTTTAAAAGTAAAATTCTACCATTTTCTAAAAGCAGTTTTATTATTCCAATTCCTCTTATTTTATATGTCATGTTTCCCATGATAACTTGGCCTCCTTTAGTGTTTTCAAAGTCCAAAAAATAATTTTTGTTAAGGCACGTGTGAAAATAACAACCTGAGTCAAGAATCTACACTTGATTCAGGTTTCTTTCAGTATTAACAAGAATAATGCCATTATCAAGCTATTGTTTATCATAGGATATAACAATATTACCTTTACTTGACTTCTTTCCTTTTAAATTATTTTGCTTCTTATAACAGTCTTTAGCAAAGTGACATAACCTTCCACAATAATAGCATTTCTTTCCCTTTGCCTTATTTTTGAACTTCACTTTATCATTATTCCTCTTTCTAGGTTCATTAGGGATTTTTGAATGAAAGTTAGATTTACCAACACTTTTACCTTTTATCAAAAGATTTTCTCTATTTTTGATTGTTGATAGAATCTGATTTGAGTTTAAGAACCATATTTCTTAAGACATTTATTATAATATCAGTAGTAAGCTTATCTCTTCCATATTCTAGGGCATTCTTGAGTTCTCTATGTGTATCACTAATGGAGTTTAACAAGACCATAGCTAACCGATCTTCTGATAGTTTCTCATCACAGTTGGCCAGATCCTAGGTCAACTTAGTAAACCTATCAAAGTTTTCATAGAAATCAACAGAATTGTCCATTTTGAAGGAGAAAAATTGTTTAAGCAAAAAATGTTTGTTAGGAATAGTCTTGGGCTCATATTGAGCCTTTAATTTGGTCCACAATTCTTCAACATTTTTAGTTTTCCCTATGCATTTGATCACATTGTTAGAAAGTTACAAGAAGATAGTGCTCCAAGCTATCTCCTCTAATTCAGTTCTTTTAGAAGCATATTTTTCTGCAGACCAAAAATTATCAAGGGCTTTAGCACATTTTAGTTGCATTAAGAGAGCCCTCTTCTTTTGACTCCACATATTAAAGTCTCCCTTCCCATCATACATATTTACTTCAAAGTTAGCAGTGGTCATCACAGGATATACCAAGATAATGCACATGTTTGAATTTCAATAATACAATAAGGGACACATAGTCAGAGAACACTCTGTAATTAGGATTTAGGCATAGGAATAATGCATTAGGATGTGTAGACTCAAATAGTGAACAAATAACACTGAGTACAAGAGAAGAATCATAAACCGAGATTACAAATCCTATATTTCACTATCTCAGATTCCCAAGACCTCTATAGGGCCTTTGGACAATGACTAATTTGGGAGGTATACGGTGTAGGGTAAATGAAGGAAAAAGTCAAGAAATTCTAAAATTAGAATTACCAGCTAACAAAATATAGGAAAGATCTCACTAAATCAGTTTAAAGAGCTCAGATTCCTTCAACGGTGTTCACACGTTTTCAAGGTTGGTTTTAGATCCACAGTCCAATCGAAAATCTGGTCTCAGGAGTTTGCAAATCTTGCTTTGATACCACTAAAAAGATTGGTTGATACCCAAGATTAGTCAAAAAATCAAATAAACCAACAACACATCATACACAAAAACTGCAGAAACTAAAAAATCAACACAAAGGGATTTTTTCTGTCAAAGTCCCAGAGGTTCGACGACCACATCTAACGCCTAATCCCCCTGTTGAGCATCCATTATAAATGGTAAAAGCTCGATTGCACTATAAGCCAAATATATGGTAGCCAAATTACAATCAGTTCATAAAACAACTAGATAAAGTACAGAGACTTATCTTTACAAAATAACCTAATCGATCAATAACATCTTGCCAAGAATCACACTAGAACACTCAGTTCTATGTCAACCTCCACAAATCATTGATCTAAAGTATCACGCATAGATTACAACATCTATACACGTAGATCACTCGAATATGTGAAACCTTAATGAGGAATGAGGTTTTCTCTCTCTAAAGGCAGAGGAACCAACAAATAACTGAAGAGACTGACTTTAACTCAAGCGTCAATAGGTGATATAAATCAGAAGAGTCTAGAAGCCACATCCAAGGTTATGAAGGAGCAAGGTATCATCAATCCAACCGTAGGCAATCACTTAAAGAAGTGTCATTTGATCAAACATACTTTCTGTAGATAAAAAAATTTTGGAAGCACACTATCACTTCATTGGATAACAAAAAAAATTTTTTTGGAAGCACACTATCACTTCATTGGATAACAAACATTCTCCAATTCTAGCTAATCTAATGATAAATTAGCAACACCTCAAAAAATCCAACACCTTCAAAAGTATTAAATGTGTCTCCGACAATGTCTTGCATTTTGGATCCTCCTTTTGAATATCAATCTAATTTTCCTAATAAAAGACGCTAATTACTTTAAATGAAAATCAATTCTTCAACTCTTTGTAGAGTTATTTTATACATTCTCATAAAGTATACTAAAGAGAACGTACTCCAATTTTTTCAGCACCAGATGACGAAGAAGGTTGCATAAGAAGTTTCAAAACAATGTCTTGAAATAGAGGTGCCTGTGAACCATGAAGTATTGGATACATATTAAAATTATACAAAAATATAAAATAATTAAAAAATATGTATCAAAGATTTTAAAAATATAAAAATATATAAAATAATTAAAAAACAAATATCCGGTAAGTATCGGAGGGTATTGAAACTTATTGGAGCTTGGACACGTATCGACTATGGATACGTAACAAATTTAAAAGTATTGATGTTTCTTAGGCTGGGATGAGGAATTACCCACAATACAACATGACACGACATCCCATATGCTAAACCTTTTAGCAACATTGAAAATGCCTGTTAATTACCTCCTCTAACGAAGGAATGGAAATTTTCAACATTAGAATATTATAACAACATTGAAAAAGTTAGTGAATAACCTCCTCTAACAAAGCAATTGAAATTTTCAACCAATAGTACAAACTAGAACTTGAATGCTCAAGTCTTTGTAATTAACAAGAGCACTGAAATCTGCTCAGCTCAGTTTATTGAAAAATTTAAAATCTTGTGAACTTCAACTGGGATGACCTGATTGGCAAGCCAAATTTGGAAAATTACACGACCTTGGAGAGGTACAGCCTGGGGAAAAGTGCATGATTACGAAGGTTCTCGGATTGGAAGAGGGAATGAATAAAATCTTCACTGAAAGCTTGAATCAATATATTGAATAAAATCCTCAAATACCTACAAAAAAAAGATGAAATGAGGATAAATTGAACTCCTTAGGTAGCGTAGAATTATATGGCAAACTCCAATCGATTGAGAAGTAGGTAGGTTTCTGTCGTCGCATGTCTCGTCTTTTTCTGTCTTCTATTATTATTAATTTATTAGCATTCTTTCAATTAGACATTACTCTGCTTTACCTTATCTTCATATTTTGGCATGGCTGGCTGGATGCCAGTTGATTACCTTAGCTCATTTCCGATTCACATGCGAGTTCGAACTCAATTTGCTTTGTGCTTCAACAATGGAATAGTTTGTATGTTAATTAACTGAAGAAATTTGCGTATTCCTTACACTCGGGATTAATAGAAGTTAAGATGTCATATTAACCATTTGAACAAAACAAAGTGCTGCTACAAATTAAGCGCTTATTTGAGTCACATTAGTTTCTTTAGAATGCATTTTTGAATAATATATTGATAAAAAATGTGTGATTAAAAAAATAAAGAAATATTTTAAATTTGCCTGTAATATTATTTTATTGAAGAATGTGTGATTAAAATCATGTCAAATCACCAATTAAAAATGTATTTTTTTTTAAAATGTGGCTCAAACAGGATCTAAGATTCGTTATTCTTTTGTTGACCATAAAATGCTTGCTTCAAGATTTGAGATTTCGAGGGTCACTTGCAAGTTGGAAGGGTCGAGCATACATCATTAGCAGTTTGTCAACTCCAATTACAAATTCCATCAACTGCAGAAGATGCTAGAATAAAATTCTTCAACACAAAAATACCAATTTGCCTACGACACATCTACTGTGTAAACTTATTAGAGAAAGTTCAAACTCAAGTACGGCAACTCAAATCGACCTTCTTCTATCAAATTTCTCTCTTTTGCTTCGTTGGAGATCTTGCCATCCTTGTGATCCAAAGTTGATCGTGCATTATCAGGTACAAATATTATCTTATACAATAATTATGTCCTTTATTACAACATAATGACAAGTCGCACAAACGTCTAAAGATACATGGGATGCGTCTAAAGATACATGGGATGAAAGAGAAAGATGGAACATGATCTTTTAGTTCTAGATTGTTGTAAGTAGACATACTTTTTTTTTTTTTTTAATTATCGTAGGTGTCCGGACCAACTTACACGTACCTTAACTAACCCCACGGAACCCTGAAATTTACAGCCGAGTACTCACATCAATAGTCCTAAAGGAACTCGAACTGATGACCATTGAAAACAAACCCAAAACCTGACCACTGAGTTACCCCTCAGGGTTATAAGTAGACTTACTCTAGGGGTAAATCAATTTTATACCTGGAAAAAATAGCATAAATATTCGCAAGCCTTTTTGGAAACTATATAAAACTTAACAAACAAAACATAAACAAGTTAAGGCCTGACACTTTCACGTTCTCGAAGTTCAAGTGTCTTCTTATCTCTGGACTCTTGAGCCATGCAGATGAGAACTTCATACAAAATTATTTTAAGCATTGGGATTCTTTGGAATAGAAACTTGAAAACTTTCCATTGAATCCAATTCTAAAAATCAATTCACACATCCATATAAATACAAGCCTTTATTTTGGCAGGATCGAGATCAAACTCTCAGCAAAATGAAAGATGAACATTCGTAAAAATTAAATGCAGATTTACTGATGGGACCACCACTTGGCAACAATAAATATTTTCATATTCACCACGCTCTACTGTAAGATTAGATCAATAAATTGCCCAACAGAAAGATAGCAACATCTATGTCAACGTGTACAAAGTGAGAACACAACTTCTTGAAATAGAGAATAAGAAAGCCAAAGTGCATTTCCAAAATATAGAAGCAAATTCAACATAGATATCCAGCCCCAGGCTGCAGCACAACCGAAATTCCACACTAAAAAAATCATAAAATAAGATCAAAATGACAGAATTGGCTCTAGATGAAGACAGGAACACAGAATTAAACGTCGACAAAAGACCAATGTAATAGCTTAACCAGGTACCACTGTTTCACAAACTATAAACATTACTTGCAAATAGAGCAAATAGAATATTGTGTACTCTGATGCGACTTAGAGAAATTTAATTTGCGCGGCTTTTGAAGACATCAAGACCCATCTCAGTTGGATCAGTTGCTTGCAGCTCCACCTGAATGCCATCCAATTCCCTTTTGAACCTATCTTTGGAGCTTGCATAGATCATTTTGCTCCTCACCCTTGACGTGTCAGGGGACCTTATAATGCAGGGAAAAAGGAATTGCAACAGTTAGTGCAGTGAAAATAAAGCCAGTTCACTGACGCTATGTTTGCCAGGAAAGAAAATTACCACGCAATGAAGAAAATCCTGCTCTTTGGGACATTCTCTTCAGTCATAAAGTCAAAATCATAAACTGCATAACGGCACTCATCAGCAGGAAGGCATTTGGTGAAGTCCTCATACGTTTCTGCTGGTTCACCGAGCTTTTCCACAATAACCTGTTTTTGCTTCTCCTCAATCTTGAATACTATGAATCGATGAGTTCGCTTCGTTTTCAACTCCATAAACTTGAGTTTGCAGTCATCATGCACTGCCATTCCTGAAGCCGAATTAGCCTGTAAACAAAATGATCTTAGAACTTGTGAATGGCAAAAATTAAAATTGAAGAATGCGAATAATGTTGAGAGTATAACAAATTCTAAATAATGACTTGAGTGAGAATGCAAGAGAGAAAGGTCTCTCAAAGCTCGATGTAAAAATGAATGATATTACATTGCAATTATTGGAGACCATGATTAGTGATTGCCTTAATGGAATGAGCCGCATTTCTCAATTTAAGTTTCTAACTATAGTTGTCTTCCTGATTTCATTGTGTCATTCAGTCACCAACCTAAATAACATTATTGTTCATAGTACAGTAAGAGACAACCTCAACATCGCCCAGGGAAGTGTTCCTTAAGCATGATTCATATCAGGTTACCTGACATGTTAAACTCAAAAACAGATTTCTATCCAAAAAGTAAAGTAAAAGAAACATAAAATTAATCTTATGTGTATAAAAAATTAGATCTTATGTGTGAATTACCATTTTCAGAAAATGCTTCATCAAAAGAAAGCTATCAGATCATTAACCATATCGAAATAAAACTTGTATTTCCGATAAACTTATACAATTATTTAATTCGCTTTTATAAGGATTTCCCCCAAAAACGAAGGCACCAAAATTAATCTCATGTAAATAAAACAATTTTGACCAGAAAGAAAATGTAAAAACAGTCCGAGGCAGGCCGACACAAACATTAAATCAATGCCAGTTCCAGAGATCAAGGTCCAAATTTTCAGCAGAATCAGATCTAAAAATTTAGAAAGCAAATATAAAAAAAATAAAACTAAACAGCAAAAAGATTCTAGAATTTTAGCTTTCCTACAAACAATAAAGATCTAAAATCAAACGTGAAAAAGAACTCGAACGGTGAGAATTACTCTTGTTGGAAAATAAATAAATAAATAAATAAAATACATAATATTAATGCTACAAGCATAAAAGGGTCGAGGAAAGTAAAAGTATGCAGAAGAGATCATTACCATGGTGCAGAGGTCTCCGATCGGCGAAGATCGAGGGAAAATTTGAGAGAGAATTTAGGGATCAAAATAGTGTGTTTGGGGATGTGTGAGATATTTTTGGCGAGAAATCAATGGACCGACTTCTCTCGCAGCAGAAATATAAATATTTAAAGAAAACGAGCGAGAAATGAAATGTCCATCGTACCCCGGAGGACGCTCTACTTTCAGAAAGGGTAAAAATTAAGGAAAATGTCCCCAATCTTTGAAGACATTTGCACTTTAAACTCCAATTTTTTGTCAAGATGAGTTACGGTTGGCAACGGTTCGGTTATGGGTCGGTTCGACCAAATCCATAACCGTACCATCAATTTTTTTATCATACCATAACCGCACCATAATCACGAAAATCGGTTCGGTTCAATTAATAACCACATAAATAAATTATTTTTTATATTCAAATTGATATAAAACAATTTATGAAAAAAGTTAATGAAAATAAAAACACAATATTCCAAACGAAAATTCAAACATTATCTCAATTTCTAATTGCAAAATACAAATTTAACAAAAATATTATGAATATAACAAATTTTTTCTTCATTCTTGATTGTTGTGCATCGAAGTTACTTTATTCATTCTTCCCCAAAAGTCTTACTAGTATAGATCAGCACTCAAAATTGATTCTTATATAAATAAGAAATGTAAGTAGAGAATACAACGATACTACCTATTCTAGAATGGTCTTAACTAAGATTTAAATTAAAAAAGTACCTCTTTGTTAGCTTCCTCCTCACTAAACGTTGCAGAAATTTCAGAGTATGATGAAAAAGTAAAATTTTCTACACACAATAAAAAAATTAACAATAAAAGGAAGTGCATAAATAACAAATATAAAACAATAAATCCTACCATGAATATCAGTTCAAAGCCAATCCCGAGCACACATTAAAGCCTCTAGAGTCTTCGAGTGAAGCTTATTTCTATGTGAACTCACAAATCTACCACTTATACTAAACGCCAACTCGGACGTCGGTAGTAGTATCCCGTTAAATCAAGATTTAAAATACCAATTCATATTGCACAACCTTACCCAGCACCTTGCCACAACAATATCAATTCATCAAAACATCCATCAATGCTTTAAAAAAAGAAAAGAAAAAATGAGCATTAATATATGCTCTACAATTCAAAAACATTAGAGCAAATCTAATAAAAGAATCTAAGGCTTAAATGTAATATAAAAGCAATGCTAACCTTAAGAATTCGGTTGGAGTTGTCGACCACGCCTCGAACTTGGCTCAAGTCTATACTACAATCAGTACTGATTGAATTTATCTTCTTTTCGAAAAAAATTTGAAACAATTTCTGCATCAAATCCTGAAAATGCGTCCCTAAAATTGGATATAAAATGCAATTAGATTACGGATACAATAAAAATGACTGAGATAAAATTTTTATTTCAATAATCTTGATTAAGAAGGCCCTTCACCTGAGGTCCTATCCTTTCTTTAAAATTGAAGTCCAATCTGATTCAAACTGAAGTCGTGTGAAAAAAATTTCGGAGGCGATGACAGCTTGGACCGTAGAATCAGTGGAGCCATGCGTGAGTTTGTGGTTTGTGGAGAGTAGGGTTTGTATTTATATACTATTTTACTAATATTATTATTATTGGTTAATGGTAAGTAGGTTGGTAGGCTGGGCCAGGTAGATGTAACGGAGGGAATTTTGTTTTGGGCTGGATAGAAAAATAATGTAAAATCAATTCAACTGTTTGTTTTTTTTTTAGCGGGTAATCGGTTCGATTTTGGTTCAACAGCATAAATAACATACCCGCACTGCCTCGAACCAGTTCATTAAAATCAAATACCATACCCGCCCCATTGCACCATCGGTTTGATTTTTTTCATTCCATTCGGTTCGGTTAACCGCGATTTTCGATTTTGACGATTCAAATTGTCATTCCTATCTCCAATCAACAAAAAATCTAAATAAGAAGATAGTTGAAGAATATTGTTATTAATAATAATAAAATGATCATTTTGCTCCTTTAAATTTTTGGATGAATATCACCTATTTCTACACGTTCGTGACACAATTGTTCAAAAAAATAGTTGTGGAAAGAAGTACAGATGATCTTAAAGGTTGGGAATGTTTGATATAATTTAATCTTTCTCTGTTTTGCTTTAATTTCCCTTTTGGATAAACAAATATTTATCTTTTTTCAAAGATTGAAATAAAGTTGGAATTTTATCCAGGTGTGCTTGTTTTTGGTAAATGTCGAAAAAACCCTTCAAAGTAAATTTTCTATTCGAAGAACTCCAAAGATGATTCACATTTGCCCCCTCACAATTCCACAAATATTATCCTTTGAATTTTATTTATTTTAATTAATTAATTATTTATTTTTTTGGAAATGGAAGACCTACAGTTCCATCTACACATTCAACCTCTCTTTTAATGGATCAAACATCAGAAGTTCTTTGTCCATAAAATCTTGCACCTAGTTCAGTTCATCAAATTACATCCCTACTCACATGGTCTATGCACGTCGCTCTCCCGAAGAGATTGTACATCTACCTATTCTAAATCTTCCCATTTTCAAGCAGGTTCATGGTCACGTAATGGGCTTTCATGATGGTTGGAATGTATTTAATTGTGAATTCCAATGTGATAAACATATAACTACACAAACTAAACAACAGTTTAACTCACACACTCACATGAATCATTCTCTATTCAAGTAATTCCCTTTAATTCCATATTTGTACGACATGTACATATCGAGCAGTCGTGAGAAAATGGGATCCCAAGTCGATAGCTAACGCATACCCCCCACTTCCAAGTCCATCACAAATATGATAACAAATCATTTTCTGGTATCGAATAGGAGCTATAAGCAAAATTGAGCACATGCGAGGAGGGATTTGAACCCTAACGTTGTGGTTCGCAGTCATGTATTCTAATTCTCTGAGTTACATTTCTCTACCTCATTTATAGTGATTTTTCTGGTTTTTTTAAGAACGCCCGAAAGAAAGAAACATTTTCTCTTCCCAACCATCTCATTTCAAGTTATGAAGATGTGCAAACGCCAAAACCTAAGACTGCATAGAAATTCGAGTACAATACTACAAAGAAAAAGTCGACCTTTCTTTCTTTCACGGCTGGTTAGAGCGTAAGAGTTAGTGAAACCTTAAACTAAATAAATTTCCACGTGATATCGAGAATAAGAAAAGAAGAGATGCCCGAGAATAAATTTGCACTTGTCGCACTTGTTAGGATCAATGAGAGATTCTATTTCACGAAAGATTCCATGGCCATATCCTCTCTTATTTTCAATTGCACAATTTTTCATAAAATAATATTACATGTAAATCAAAAAAATTTCATTCTTTTTCAACCACATATTATTCAAAAAATATTATTCCAAACATTAAAATTTGAAAAAAAAATGGGGGCCAAACGGGTAGGCATTTCCGCTTTTGTCATTTGGTTGAACAGGTACCTCATCAACACTTTGCCTTTGTAAGGGCCCTCTCTATAATTGAAAGTTTAATGAATGCGTTTATCTAATCACTAAATTAAAAATTAAATTAATTTTTGAAAATTTTATTTGTACTATACTATTATCTTATTTATAATCAGTATGATCTTACGACTCTTTACTAATTTTTTTCCTTGGATCAATAATGAGTTCAATTTTGAAAATAGTTATAAGAATTAAAAACCTCGTCGTAGTGATCATTTAGATAATTGAATATTTGAATGAGTATAGAAAGTGTTGATCTCCGAAAATGATGTCAATAGATGTCGGGCTAGAGATGGCAACGAGGTGGGACACCCCACCCTGTTTCGCCCAAACCTTGCGCCCGTCCCCAACCTTGACTCGAATGGCAACGAGGTGGGGCACCCCTACCCCACCTCTCCCAAACCTCGCGCTTGGCCAAAGCCCCGCCTCGCCTTAGACGAGGTGTGCGTGGCGAGGGCAGGGCAACTTTTTGTCCCGTTTAATTTTATTATATATATATATATATATATATTTTCACATTTTCAAAATTTCAAGTTATGTCATTATTAGAGAATAAATTACAAATTCAAAATGGATTTTTTAACTGATGAATTGTCTGGAAGTAAAATTATTTTTAATCTTTTTTCATTAACGGTGTGAGGCATCCTCGCCTACCCCGCCAACCCGTTTGGGGTGGGGCGATTTTTTGTCATCACTATGTTGGGCCCACTCGCATTTATGTGGGCGAATTTCGGTGCGTTTGGATTGTTATTTGATCGGACGGTAGAATGGACATAGAAGATGCTCATTCGACACAAGACTAAGCAGTTTAGAAGTCGCCAAAGTTACCCGAAAACTCTCACACAGATATTGATAATCTCACCCAAACACGATTACAACTTTTGCAAGTAAATGATAAAAGAGAGCAAGATAGGAACACCATTAAATGGCAAGAGACATATGGAGTTGTATTTATTTTCCTCCAAAATGTGCCAAAAATTTATATACCCATTCCTTATTATTCTTCTCGGGATTTCTCTCTATTTTTCTATACGTGTTGTTTCTATCCTTCCATCCACTTTCTCTTTTTCTAAGAGGAGGTCATATATATAAAATTTGGGGAAGACGTGGTGGTCGTTGGATCCAAACCACGTGCCCCTAGCCGCTTCTTTTGTACATCACATTCTTCTTACATATGCATTTATTACATTGACAAAAAGCCAAATGCCCTATACTTCTAGGCTGATATTCATGACATAAGATAAAATAGACATCTAATCAATCTTTTACAAAGATATTCGTCATGTTAGCAAATGTGACAACCTCTTTGCCTCTTAGGACTTCGAACTCATCTTTTAGAACATTGGTTGGTTGTGAACATGAAGACTTCGGCATAGACCCTTCGTTAGGGCTTCTGTATCCATCCGGTTAAATAGCACCTCGGCCAGAATAAGGACTTCAGTTTCGAGAGCCAATCTGTAACCTTATTGCTTCGTCTCTTCATATGGGCTGAGTTAGTGGATTTTCCACGTGGCGCTTTCTGATGCCTAACTTAATACAGGGAGTAACATCAGTCCCCCAAGTCTAATTATTAAATATTCATATGAGAATTTTAGACTTGCCAAACATACACGACAATAGCCATCCGAACTGAGGCTGAGGCTCGTGTGATTGTACAAATAAATGGCATTTCCTCAAAGTATATACATTGAGAGCAGAAGTCATAAATGCCAAAGTTGTGAGATGTAAAAATCGGGGTGGTTTGTACCGTTGTTGAAGTGGTTGAAATTTTGACCGAAGTGGTTGTTATATGAGACGATTTGGGCAGTTTGATCGTCTTTTGTCATTATTACCATAGATTGCTATGCTGCCGTGTGATCTTCTCGAAGAGGGCGGTGACTCCTATTTTCAATGCGTTCCATTGAACACGTATTTTGATCTGGGCCGTGAAAGTTGAAACGTTAGACGCATCGAATGGTCCATATATGACTCCGATTGGGATGGTCCAAATCTTTGAGATCTAACGGCTGAAAATGCATGTGTTTGTTTATAAAAGGCTCATTTACTTGGATATTCATTTGTTTGCATAAATCATGTCGACTCATGTCTCTGCGATATGATCGAAAAGTATATTTGTACTTGGTGGATTTCAAGGGAAGTTGGTGCTAGGGACTGCTTGGTTTCGAACGATGCCATGGAATGTGCAAATTGAATGATCCTTGGGCACAATGCATTGGATGCTTGGACCCATGAAAAATGAAAATGCAGCCTCAATAAAATATTCTTTGAACACTTTGGGAACAGTGTCGAAGTGCAGAAGGTCGCCCATTACCTTGAATAAATTATGTTGCAATAGGGTGCGAATTCCATCCGAAGTACCTCAAGTGGCACTATGTGGATCCTCAGGGGTTGGCACCGACGTACCTCCCCTAAGCAGCTAGGCTTCTCCTCTGTCAGAGCGTACTAGACAGAGTGTATTGTACTCGTAGCTTGAGTTTCAACATGGTCTGACAAACCTCGTAATTGTGAATGTTGCTCTATATGGCAGACGTCCCTCAAAAGGGAAAGGTTCAGCAGATTATGCATCTGATGTAGTAATTGTACTTTGTCATTATTATTTATTATTTTTTTTATTATTATTTTGACAAGTGCTTTGTAATACTTTGTAAGTGGCTGACTGCCCCCAATTGTAATGCGTTGCAGTAATGAATAAAATTTCTACATTTTTATGCAAATCTGTGTTTGAACTGAGCTCTAAATTGTTACTGCATTGTAGTTGGGGATGCTCTGGGAGGGTCGTGCCCTTGCTGTAGTCCCCATTTTTTTTATCTTTTTATAGGCAACTTGTTCTTTTTCACGAAAGTGGTCCTCATAGGATCCAGCCCTTTGTGTTGTTCTACCCTTGGGGTTGATTTTCATTTCTGAGGTAGACCACTTCGGGTTCTAGCTCATTTCATCGAGGTGCCTCTCTTGGGATGACCTTAGTCAACATTTTCTTTTGAACTTATATTCTAAAGTGTCTCTATGGGCTGTTGCTTCTTGGGCTAATTTCTTTTATTCCTTTAAACGAATTGCCTCGAAAAATGCTATACATTTTGTTGAGAACTTCGACAATGTCTTCTACATAGTGTGGACTAGACCTGCCCACTAGTCATATATCAGATAGTTACAAGGCCTATTTTTCCCTTTTAGTTACCCATAGATGGCATCTCACATTTTTCCAAAATATAATATGGAAAGGCCTACCATACCAGGTCATATGTCTAGTAACAGTGTGTGTAAAGTGACATGTATACCAACGCTGGTAAGAATGATGTCATAGGTCGTGAAGTATGCTAGCCATAATGTTATACGCGAGCTAACAACAATCATAATAATCTCCCAAATCCAAACATAGATATTCACATGATGGGGGATCTAAAGGAGAAATAACTTAATAAAAATTTGCACAAGCATCTATCATGGACGTTGTCTGAAGTCCTAAAGTAAACTAAGTTTTTGTTGTGAAGGAGTTGAAGTTATGTGTCAAAGCTATCTACTTCAAATGTTTTGTTGAATCTCCGAGAAATGGAGCCGAAGTCCTATTGCCCAAGGCTATTATTTTATGAAAGGAGTTGAGGTCCCTATTTTTTCGAAATTCTTTGGCTTGTTATGTATATATTTCTCTAAGGCAAGAGGGCCGATCCTATCACCCAAGCTGACATCTTGACACTTGTAATCGCATATCTTTCAATTTTGCAAAGCTAAGCAAATGGCTCGTGCATAGTCCTCCTTTTCAATTAGTCAAAGGGGATCTATGTATTTGGGGATGGTCCCCTGTGGGATCTTCTCTTATCATTTTCTACACGTTGGCAGTTCTGCGGAGGTGGTTTCACCTTTACCTTTTCTTTGAATAAACTTCTTTTACAAGTACGTGGTTTTGTTTGAGCTATACATAAGGCATCTTTGACCTATTCCGGCCCTCATCTTTTCACCTCTCTAGATGGGGATGAAGTCTTTAGCCCATTAACAAGGGGGTCGGCCTTCACCTTTTAAGCCAAAACTTCCGTAGGCAATATAATTCTATGAGGCTTATGCTTTAGTTGCTTTGACTGGAAAAGGCAGCAGATCGCACTTTTTCGTCGCTGTTGTTGAAAGGTCAGTTCTTATTCGCTAATGTTATAATGCCCGTCTTGGTAATTATATGTCTTAGGGGCTCTTTTCGCAAGAGGAGCCAGTTTAAAATGGCCAAAATTGGAGCTCATCTTTTTAGGCGAGGCCTTTGTCTTTCTCATAGGGGTAGTTTTTAAGATTTCCGTCCCCCGACTGCATCTTTTGCATAGGATGGGGAAGACTGCAAATCATTTTTCTGTAGGGCTTGTGCCGTTGGTTCATTGATCTGATGCGAATGTTAGCTCATGTTTGTCAGGGTTATGGAGCCCGGCCCAGTAGTTGTATGTCTTAATGCCTCTTTTCGCAAGAGGACTTTGTCCGGAATGGTCGATTTTTAGGGAGACATCTCCTTGGGCTTATACATTTTCTCCTCATGTGGTTAATCTTGGTTGGCCCGTATCTAAGCTAGTGCAGCTCGTCTTTCACGCCTATTCCTAAGCGGGGGATGAATGTATCTATGGGTGAGTTCAGCTGCGGTTCCCAATCAAGTTTGTCCATGTTGATTTCCCACTGATGGAGGGTTGAACAGATGTGGCTGGCTTAAGAGGATAGGAGGGAGTCTGGCTTGAGTGGGTGAAATGTGGGCTCAGTTCTGTCTGTTTCTTATAGGAGCAAGCCTGTCAAGGACATTGGCTAACATCCTCGCGCAATTGCCCTATTGTATTATGATGGAACGACAGTCTCCCCAGTCATTTAGTTGGTGGCGTAGTCGGCAACCATGTCCACATCCACCTTTCTTTTTAGCGAAATGACCTCCTCGTTTTGTGAGGAGTTAGCCAATTGACCTTGCATGCGCTTTAGCAGTTCTTACATTGCAACGTTTTGTCGGGAAATGGTCCTCACGTTTGCGGCGACGGTAGCCAACTCCCTGACGAGCATTGCTACTAGCCTGGGCCTACTCCTCGAGCTACTTCTTCGGAGGCGAACTACGGGTGTAGCTGATAGCGACTCCTGAATTATTAGGGCACTTTGCGAGGACGCTTTCTCACCAAAGGGTTCTTTAATCTGTCCAAGTGCAATTTCTTCCTTTGTTGAACTCATGGCTACCCCTCATCGATAGGTAACCTCTCTTTAGCTCTGTTTCTGGGGTTGTTTTCATTTACTCAAGGACTTAGCAGAGTTCATTTTGAGTCGCCTCTTTCAACACCTTGGTCATGCCCCGTATTGCTCTTTTTCAAGCACGTCACCTTTTGTTCAAAGGCCTTATGCTATGGGGTGCTCATAGTTTAGCTATTCCAAGTTTTCCACAAACCGAACCAATTTGTTGACCCCAAAAAATATTACCAACAGAATCCCTGCCACGTTTCCTTCACATGGACGTCACCTATACCCGGAACACCTCGTTAGGAGGCAAAGATCGTTGATCGAGAAAAAGGTTCGGTGACCGCTTGCACTCCGACGATTAAGTCAACAGCCGGATATATGGAGACAGGCATGTGTGGGCTTGGTGAGCTAATGGGTCTCGTCCAATAGAAAAGCCCAATATGAAATAATTTGTGTATAACAGAAGGCCCCTTTTTGCCATGAAATAAATTGAAAAGAAAGAAGACCGTTCAACATTGATCATTGGACAAGTTAAAATCAGGGGCGGACCCATGAAGGGCCCAGTGGGGGCAGTCGCCCCCACTGAAATTTCAAATACCTTCAAAAAGAGCACTGCCCCCAGTGGAAATTTCAAATACCTTCAAAAAGAGCTGAGACCCACAATAATCATTTGGTCAAGTGGTGTGATTCTTGCTTTGGATGTAGGAAGTCTCGGGTTCAAATCCCAAAATGTCATTTTTATTATTCTTTTGTGTTTTGTTTTTAGCTCTTTTTCTCTTTTAATTTTTTTGTGTCAAATCCGTCATGCCTCAAAAATGATTGAATAAAATTGATATGGTTGTATTCCAATTTATTTTTTTGTTCTTGTAAAATCACAAAAGGTCGGCAAAAAATAAAACAAAAAGAACATAGAAACAATGTTGTCTTTGGAAAAAAAAAAAACAACAGCGAAAATTTAGGGGCATTTCAAAGTGCTTCCCCACCAAGCACTACAAACCTCGTCCGGACTTGAAATATTCAAAAAATGCTTAAACAATTTATTTTGGGTCATTTTTTTTGTCTCGCCCCCACTGAACAATAATCTTGGGTCCGCCCCTGGTTAAAATACAATCATCTACTACCACGTACCTTTTTGGCATGTTTTTGGATAATTTCTTTTGGCAAATAAAGGCCTGTATGATTCTTATTATTTGGCTACAAAAATAGAAAATATGACAGTTATTCATCACATCAAGTCATCATATTTAAATTTTAATATTTTTTGTAGGTCTTGTAATGACTCTATTTTTTATTCTTTTAAAAAAATTGAGAGCAAACGAACTCTTAGATTATTTTTTTATTTTTTAAATTCACTACTACAACCATAATCTCGCTACCCCATATTAGCAAAACCAAGTAAAACGATGCCGCGTGGAGAATCTTGAAGAATCCAAAATCTAGAGAGTGAGAGTCTGATGGATGCATCGGCGTCGGCGAGTGGCGGCGGAGCTCATGGGAACCTCAACGGGCAAATCGATCAACTCATGCAGTGCAAACCTTTGTTGGAACAAGAGGTCTCCATTTTTTTTCGAGGAATTCGCAATGATATTATATTCAAGCTCCTATTTTTCTTTTTAATAAATTCTAGAAATTTGCGATCTGATTTTTTTGATTTTTCTGTGTTTAACGTTAATTCTAGAGCGAGCGATCTGAAGTTAAGGATTATTTGGGGCTGTGCAAGTGTGACAATAGAATTAATATCGGGATTTCAGTAACAGATCCGATCGAAGGATTTCCATTTTTCCCGTTGCTTTGAGGTCCTTTAGGATGTCTCTCGGAAATCATTACGCACAAGTGAAAAATTTTGTGTTGTCCCCCCAAATTCATTTTTTTCTTTCCATTTATTTATTTTTCTAATTCTAAATATTCATTGTAATGTAAAAGTGTTTAAATTTAGGACTTATAACTCATTTTAACAGTCGTAACTATATTTCAAATGTTTCTTAAAGTAGTTATCTCATAATGCTTACTGAAAACGGAAATGGAAAGAAATAATAATTGCTATTTGTGTAGAAGGATATATTTTCATTTATGGATTTTCAGAGGAAAGTCCAATTCAATCCAAGTGGGTTTGATAATTGGATTACTAAAGCAGTTAGGAAAAATGGAAAAATAAGGGTTTTGGTTTTCATTTCTGTTTTTCTATTTTCAGTTTTGAATTCATTTTCTGTTTTCTTGTTTTGTGGGATTATTTTAAGGTTGCAGAAAAAGTGTAAAAATTGTTTTTCAAAAAAAATAAAATAAATAAATAAAATTAGAAAACGCGCTTGGTTTAAAAACTTTAAAAATAGTTAAATGACATTTTGGAGGAGCATGGGATGAGAGAAATAGAGGGAGGGAAAGGGGTATTTGTATTTGGGTAAGTTCAGTGTGATTTTATTAATTATTTTAATTTGAAAAATTTTAAAGCACCTTTTCCTTGTTTTGAGTTTTTTGAGTGTTTACAATGAACACACTCAAAACGTCAAATGTCGTTTTGAGTTTTGTGTTTGTTTTCAAAATTGCATTTTTGATAATAACGTACCAAACACGTTTCGAGTATTTTCGAAAATTGAAAACTGAAAATGGCCTCAAAATGACAAACCAAACACATTCCAAGTTTCCATAGTGTTTTATAACAATTTCAAAACTTTTACCTATATCTGAACTTTGACTATCGATCAGCATTTAACGTACAATTTGCTTATTCAGAATAAGTGAGCATTAAGTTCATTTGTGATTTGATTGATGTCCACATTTATTTGATTTCAATCTACCATGGCTCAGCTGACAACTGTCAAATAATAATAATAATTATTATTGTTATTGTTATTATTATTATTATGTAATAATAATAATAATAATATCCTTTTTCTATTTCCACAACTCGTTATATGTAACCTGATGATAAACAAATAATTTGAACGGCCAATTAGTTCATTGTGATTTTGTGACGACAGTGCAATTTATTGTTTTGCTACAGCTATTGTATTTTTCTTTTGTATCGTGGTCAAAAGAGGCTTTTGTCATCTTGTTCTGTTAATCTTTTTAGGTGAGGGCACTATGTGAAAAGGCAAAGGAGATTCTAATGGAAGAGAGCAATGTGCAGGTGTGCCAATTTTCTTCATTTTCATGATTGCTGTCAATGTTTAAAGTGTGTATTTATCAGTTAGCACTGCAATTCTATTTCATTGATGTTGAACTTTTTTAGTGTGAAGTAACTTGGGTGTTGTTCTGTTTCTCATGATTGAGGGCCACTTGTTTCTTTTAAGCATTATTTTTATGGTTCATAGCTTGACTTACCGCATCTTTCTCTACAAGCAGTTGTATAACACAGAAGTTAAACTGTTCCTTTACAGCAAACTCCTCTATTTATTGTTGAAACTTCCTTATTCAAAAAAGCAATGGTATTTTTAATAGAATCATTTTAGTCCTTCCAGCTTCGTTTTTACCATATATACCAATTTATTGTGAAACACAATCATTTTCCTTATCGTCAACAGATGTTCCTTTTCAAAGCCTTATTATTTCCTTTCCACCCTACCCAAGCTGGGGTGGAGAAGGCATTTCTTGTAGAATTACTAACTAATGTAGCATGGATAACTACTTTCGAGAATTGAAATTCTAATAGCCTAAGTGTTTGTGATATGCGCCTTCTGCCCAAAACAATTTTAGTTCTTGGCGACCTTAAATGTTGCTAAAGAGCTCAATTGGTTCTTTGCTTCCATAATTGCAGCCTGTGAAGAGCCCTGTGACCATTTGTGGTGATATTCATGGACAATTCCATGATCTTGCGGAGCTTTTTAAGATTGGTGGAAAGGTATGTGCTAATGGGCTTCCCAATGTCTTACATTTTGTCTATATTTATTAAGAAGACGCCCTTGTATTTTCTTCAGTTGAATATATTTAGCATGGTTTCTTTGGCAGTGTCCAGATACAAATTATCTGTTTATGGGAGATTATGTTGATCGTGGGTACTATTCAGTTGAAACAGTAACGGTGAGTTATATTGAATCATGTTATTACTCGTATTTTGCTGTGGAAGCTCGAGGAGGGTAGTTGATTGCCATAACTGTGCATCAATAGTAATTTCTTTTGTTCCTTTTTGAGTGGAAAGCTCTCAGGATTCATTGAGAGATGTCCTGTTTTTAAAAATAATTACATTTCAGAATATCATTTTCCCCCAAAAGTATGACATCCATATGTCGTACACAAACAATGTTCTCGTTAATCAGAAGCAGGTGTGACGATGGTACTAAATAATCTTGCTAACCTAATAATGACAGGGTGTCTTCTATTTCTTTAATTTTTGCTCTATCTGCTGATCTACTTATGTTTCATCCTGAGCCAAGATGTTATATTCCTTAGTGGAGCCAGTTCTAATATTTGGATAATAAGTCTATAAAAGTATATTAAACTCCGGCGAGTGGATATCTATCAGGAGCCCATATTTGGACTTTGGGGGAACATGGTTCGGTTTTTCTTATATTGGACTGTAATTCTCTTGGCTTGTGTGATTTAGTTACTGCTTTAATTCTTTTCATACATTACCTTTCTTTTTTCCTTGAACAAAAATTTTCAGCTCTTGGTGGCATTGAAAGTGCGTTATCCTCAACGAATTACTATTCTTCGGGGAAATCATGAAAGTCGCCAGGTTTGTTTTCATTATTTGAAACCTAATTCATAGATGTGAACGGCAAGAGCTATAAATATTTAAAGTCAGAGATTCTGTTGAACAGATTGGTTGTTCTGTTGAACAGAATGGTTGTTCTCTTCTTAATAGTTATAATGTTTTTATGTATTGTTTTATGAGGTTCTTGAATCATTAATTGTAATTTTTCTGCAAGGATGGTAAGTGCTGAAAAGTGTAACTTTCTTTCGTTCCTTTTTTGCAGATTACTCAAGTTTATGGATTTTATGATGAATGCCTAAGAAAGTGAGTTCTGTTTCTTATGTGTTTGTAATGCCAGTTGAATAAATAAATTGTAAAAAAGATTGTGGGAAGCTGGTTCTTATTATTATTATTTTTTTTTGACATTCTACTATGTTCAAAGCTTAATCACCTTATGCAACATTTTTGCTCTCATTCTGGCCTCCATGGTCGATCACCCTATGCAAGTTATTGTTATAATTTTTGAATTTGGGGGCACCATTG